TTGGCGAAATTTCTCTAACCTCTATTTTATATACCTGTCAATGAAATGTCACTTCATGCTCTACTTTATTTACTATTGCACTTTCGTCAACCTCTTCTTCGCGCACTTCCTTACATGCAGATTCATCTTTGACGCACGCTTGAAGTCGTTTGTGCTTATTTAGCAGCTCCTCTGTTTTGATCATGCCCTTCTTGTCAAGAGAATTATCTACAAGCGTGCAAGCATCTTGAACAAATTTGTTAAACATATCTGGTTGATCTGAATATATATGATGTCCAGCACTTGCAATAATCTGAAAATGATGAAAATGAGAGTCGAAGTTTATTGGTTACTCTTTAAGAAGTTCGGCTTATGATGTAACTTGCGCATGGCTAAGGGCACCTCCGATACTACCGCAGCTACTAGCGACTGCGGGTGACAGTCCCCGAAGAGGACACTTGTTCCATTCTTAAGGTTAGACGCAGCGCCTAAAAGACGCTAGCGATTGTCGTTCTGTATCGAACTCACAGGATTGAACGCGATGAACCAGAGGGGGGACAAAATTACAGTAGCGTCAATTGAATTTTTTTAAATAGCAGTATTGCTATTTATAATGTTTAATAATAGCTTTTGTGTGATTTGTTAATTCTTGTTTTGAGTTGATAAATTGTGATTGTTTTGTGATTTGTTTGTAATTTCATTTGTTTATTTTATTTTCCAATTTCCTTATCCTTATATCCGCAGTGGTGACAGACCTAAGATGAAACACGACGACTGATAAATTGTATTGTACTGAATAGGAACACGCCGGGATAAATATGTTAAAGAACATGACGTTAAATTAAATTAAATTGATTTTAAAACCAGAGAACAGTAATACGTCGCAAGAAATTATCTTGCCGGAGGGATAGTAAAGACAAATCTAAAAAGAATGAAAAAAATACACTTGCAAATAATTGAAAACCGACCAGAAATATGTATCTCCTTCACCAGAATGTGCAGAGTATTATGCAACTGATCCAATTTTGGTTTGTTTCGAATGAGAAAAGTTTCTAATGGGACACATTGTAAAATAAGTTTCAACAACAAAACGTTGCATATTAAACTAACGGTTTTCTATGGAACCTATATGGAAACAATAAATTATATAAAAAAATAAAGATACGATAAGATAGTAGTATACACTTTCGCTGGATAAATTCGCTGCGGATCACAGGGTAAGGATTTTATTAATTGTATTTTTTCCTTGGGGTTTGAGAACTATTAAAGAGACTGTTGCACACAAGAGAATACTAAAAATTAAAAATCCAAATGAGTAATTTTTTCTGATGTGCTCTATTATTAGTAAACCCATGGCAATTTTATTAGAAAACATTGTTTTTTGTCTTCAAAAATGTCGTTCTAGTAAAAAAAGTAATTTTATAGAAGTGAAGGCGGACACCATGCTTAGGCAGTATAAAAAGAAAATCAGTATTAATTTTAAGAACTGCAATAAGAAAAGGTAACTAGGACACTCGAAGATATTCGACAAGGCAGAAAAAGTTTAAGACAAACTGCTGAACAATAAAAATTCCTAAATCCACCTTACACGATATGAAAATAGGAATAAAAGCAAAGAAACATGGCGGACAGTGCCTAATTCCACAAGAAGAGAGACATAACACGAATAAGAACACACCTCTTATAGGTGCTAAGACCATTTTTAACGCTTAATAAAGGGTCGTCCGCCTTTACTCCGCACATAGGGGTGAAGGCGTACACCAGTTATCTAAAAAAAAATTAATGTGAATGAAAAGTGAATTTGTATTATTTTGGAATTCGACAAGGAAGACACGAAAGTCTAAATTATTTTATTCAAAATTTTTGTTTCGAAATACCTTTTTATTCAAGTCTTCCAGAAGTAAAAACAATTTTTGCGAGGGGGATTTAGGGCCACCCTTTTACCTTTCTTTCACTTGTTCCCAAATAAGCGCGAAATACCAATTCGGTTAGTCAAATGAGCCTTACTCTTAAACTCGGGAACCACCTGGCATTCGCAAAATCGTTTTTTTCTATAGCCAGCCGTGGGCTGGTTAGACAATCAAAATATCCGCACAGAAAAAGGCAAAAATCTAATTCACTCTTGTCTATAATTAAAAGTTGGAATCAGCCGGATTCACTTAAAGTAAACCGAAGCTCGTTCCAGAAACACAACCTGATCATACAGACAGAACATATATAAGACATACGAAAAGACTGACTCTCCTGACTCCCACTGTACAGGCTTATTTATACCAGCGAAATTGGGGTTCCCTGTAATATGAGGTTCCTGGGTCAGATACGCGCGCTTCCGCTGTGCACGCTTTTTTATCAGCAGAATGGGGTTCACTGTAATATGGGGTTTCCCTGCACGATAGTGCTCAAGACTTAAAAATTAAAAACTTATGTCTTGAAATTTTAACGCCTTGTAGCTTCAACATGAAATACATGAATAGGGTTACAAAATTGAGATACACTTTAGGCTTATGCCATCCGCTCAACATTCGATGCACGCTAAAATTGTTCAAGTAACTGTTCTATTTAGTTACACACATACGGACAAAAATTATATTTGGATGCAAAAACTGTTAGACTTACGTCAATATTGATGTACGACTTATGCCCCCTTGTCTCATGTAGTATTAAACCTGGCTGTGGGTCAATCCACGAATCTTCCCCATACATTATTGTGATCGGAACATCTTCATGCAATAAGTCAAATCGATGAATCATAGGATTTTTCGCCCAGCCTACATCTTTGAGAAACGAATGAAAAGCAGTTTCTCCGCTGCAAACAAAATGCTAATTTTCGTGTTAATTTGTAGTCGATTAAAAAAACGCACCTTGGATATTGCGAGTTGCACTGATAAATATATTCAGTTATTACATGGCTATTTTCGAATTGATCCTCATACCTCCTGGCGATGTCACGTCGCATTCTGTGAACAAGCGCCGGCCCTGAAGTTCAAGAAATGTCTCAATATTCTTTTACACTAAATGAATATAAACCTAAATTAATAAATTATACAATAATATTTAGTTGGGGTTATATCTGTAATTTTTACATTTCAGTAACGTATTTGAAATGTATATTCATACAGGGTCAAAGAGTGATATCTCTCCAGTATATGTGCCCATAATTATAAGTCTTTAGTCTAAATCATGTATTTTTGGTTTCGAGATATTTAACGAATTGCATTTAAATAAATTAAAAACTATTTTTACATTATGCGACCTTTTTATTTACAATTTTATTAGTCTTGATCAATAGAATTTATGATTACTATAGAAGTTTGTGTGAATTTTATATGAAAATGTTTTTTAAGTTGGAATTGGCTTAGACCATTTTCAAAATTAACTGAATGTCCTAATAAATGACTTAAATCAATAAAGAACTGAAATGAGTTTTATTTGAAACAATAACTTAAATAAAATACTTTACAAAAAACATTCTGAGGAGTTTGTAAGATTCTTAAAATGTTCCTGAAAAACTACAGAGATATATGATAGTAAACACATAATATATTTATGTTTTATATGGTCTAGTGATGCTGTATAATGGAAGTTCCAACAAATCCGTATATTTTTGATCTTCTTCTTTTAGGCGAAAGATCCAAAACGTGAAATTGAGAATCGTCTAAAGAAGCTTTATGGAACATTTCATAAGATTTATTTTTCAAAAATTGTATACATTGTATTTGCAGCCAAGTCAGATTTGCTCGGTATTTTTTACTCTTCTTGTTGTTGACTCTTTTAGTGATTTTGTTGCAATAAAATCCCACTGCAACATTCGTTTTATCGAAAATGCATTTTTTCTTCTACATATGTATATCTAATTTGCTTTCTTTATTTTAATTTCTGTGATCTCATAATCACGGTCATTCGACAGAAAGAAGAAACAGTTCGTATAATGCCTCCACGAGTGACTGAACCGGATTTTCAATGCAAGTATAATTGTTTTTTGATAATAAATGAGGTTCAAAAGCAGGAAATTTTGACCCAGTCGTCAGAACATGATTCTAAACTCGGAACATTTAAACAGTTTTATGAAGAAATTGGTTACGAACTCGGGCAAAAAAGAAAATATTTTATTTGAAAATATCACGTCTTTAAATGTGCAAAAAACTAATTTAGTAAAGTGCAGTATCACAGCAGATACAGCATTTATTATTTATTTTGTTTTCAAAAATTAATCCAAATCCTATGCAAATTCTTCAGAAAGACTTTATAAATGCGATCTTGCATTTGCGATCTACTTATCAACCTAAAGAAACTTGCGAACGTTCAGTCCCTGGCTGACAACTATGTATCTAAAAGCGATAAGTAGTATTACCGTATTTGATGCTGTTGGTCCAGAAATACCCCAGGAAACCCCGTATAGCGAAGATGAAGATGTCGAAATTGAAATGTTTTAAACCTGTTTGCATTTTTTATCATTTTTCTGAGTAATTTATAATATAAACTAGCTGACCCGGCAAACGCTGTATTGCCATATAAATTATTCCTAGGGTTTTTTTTTATCTCGAGTGGGCGGTTTGCCCATTTTTTTTGCTTAAGGTGGGTGTTTCCAAGGGGGGTCTGCCATTAGACTATTGGGAAATTTGAAGTGGAGTTTTGGGATTGTTCGGGAAAAGT